TATATATATTTATAGGTTGAAAGCAGTAGCCATAGGATAGATGGATGGATATAAATATTTTTCCCCCTATACGTACATAATAATATGTATATATTATCCAGAATCCATAGGCTCTGCACCTATACTGGGGATTTAACTTTGTTAAAACTCTTTGACACAGTTTCTGTTAAGTTGGCTCTGCAGAAAGTGTTAAAGATTATCGTAGTTTTCAAATGTTTCAGAATAAAATACAAGTTTACCTGTCCTGTGTTTAAAATTGGTTCTCCTAAAATGATTTAATCCCCAGTATTCAAAAGGGAACAAAACTACAAAACTGTCATTAGGCACTTCAGGAGTTGAAATTTATAACTTTCTAAAGACACTTTTGATAAAATATAGTTGGATTAAAAAAAATAGGTGTTTTTTTTTTTTTTTTTAACTTAGGCAGGAAGTGAAGCATTTCATCACAGCATCTCTAAAAAAAAAAAGATTATAATTAAAAAAAATTTTTTTACACATACAAAAGCTGCTACATTCAAGTTATCAATGCTTACTATACTATACATTTTTTAGAGTAAAATTCAGTTTAAAGATTCAAATGTACACTACTCAAGTGACAAAACAAATCTCAATTATTCATTGCAGAATTCTGACTGATCAGATCCCCTGAGAATTTGAAAAAAAGTCTAATAGGGCCTACTGAGCATTTTGTAAATTGGTTTTATTGACTAATCTAAATGTTCACAGTCTTGCTTATTTTCATTTTCACAAAAACAGATTAATTTGTTTGTGAGCATATTTTTTGTAATTAGTTTTAAATCTTTTTGGGAAAAAAAGATCAAAAACATTATTATACCTACTAGACAACTGCCCATCAGGGATGACTGGGAGGGGAGGGAACTAAACGCTACCATCCACCACCCCACGCTGTCACTGTCTCCCAGGAGCTGGGGGTGTGTGTGTGCCCTGCTTTCCCCTCCATCCTGCTTGCTAGCAACCTGTGCTCCCTTCAGGGACTGGGGGGGAAGGGGGGCGGGGCTTGCCCCCCTGCTGCAGCCCTGCTCCTTGGTGGCAGAGGGGGACAGCAAGGACAGCCCTGCCATGACAGCAGGGACTGAGGGCAATCATGGCAGCCATCATGGCAGTGCTCTGCTGCGCTTCTGCTACCTGTCTGGAATGCTCTTGGAGCACTCTGAATGGCTGCTGAGACAACCAATCAGAGTGTGAATAAAGCATTACGGACAAACAGACTAAGCCTTTTATATTAGAATAAGTTAAAAGAAAATCAACTATTGCTGTGTACAAGGCGGCAGTGTGCCTTTAAATTAAAATCTCTCTCAAAAATTGATGCCAAGAAAAAAGATCCCATCAAAATGGAAACAAATATGCTTAAGGAACAAGGGTCAGCAACATCCAGCCTGCAGAGTGACTGAATTCGGCTTGTGCTGCTGCCACTTCTTCCTGGTCTTCTCAGCTGTGGTCCAATATGGGATGGATGGTTTCAGGGCTGCAGTAGTGGCAGGGGGACTTTGTCTGCACTTGTGCCTGAGCCAGGTAGCTGAAAGCTGTACTGCCACTGCTTCTCCCTCTCAGCTGTGGCGAAAGCCCAGCTTCCAGCCCATGCAGATCTGTACTTCAGCCAGGGAGCTGGAGACTGGAAGAAGCAGAAACAGCATGGGTGCAGCTCCCAACTGCCTGGCTTCAGTGCTGGCATGGACAAACCCGCTGCTGTGCTTCCAAAGTCGGCCAGCCTGTGTTGGACTGAAGCTGCGTGTTCCAGCCTGTGCCTTATAAAAATTTGGTAACTCCTACCTAAGGGTATTTCTGTTGCTACAGCTTTTTAGTGCCAATTAAAACAAATGCGTACTGAGACAAAATAAGGAAAAAATATTCCTATAGCTATAAAAAGAATAACAGACAAATGTTTACTTGAGATGGCAGTTTACTTCTATTATCCCAAAAAGAATTATTAGGCTATTATCACACTTTGTGTTATTAACTAAAAAAAGACATATGCGGTTTAAATGAACACACGGTATTATAAAGATAAGAACTTTATATCCTATTTCCATATCAATACTTTGATAAATTTAAGAGTACTATAGACAAAGAGTGCATTTTCTGAGATGAATACCTAGAAAAATATCTAAATCTTAAAGTATATAACTAAATTACTGTTAATCTGTTAAATTTCAGAATTTATGGGTTATATTGCAACTTAATTCCCCTAAATCCTATACTTAAAAAAAAAAAAATACAGGATTATGTTTAGATTTTCACACACTGAATTTAGAGATGTCTTTTTCCAGAAAATAAATGTTAACCAATTTTATTTATATGAACATACAAGTACTTATATTTTCTCACCTTGCGTAAGGAATGTATGACAGACTATACCTGAAAAGGAAAGGAAAAAAGTTTAATTTGAAGAGTGTGTTTCATTTTTATATGGCAATTTACTTTGGATTAGCCAAGAATTAAGGAAAGCAGGTTTTAATAACACAATCCAAGCAAATTACAACTGCTGAAAAATAAAGGGCTCTGCACAAACTACAAATATTGCCAAAAATTTCTCATTAATATTTTTCTTTGAATTTTTCTATGCATTACAAATTCCCTTAAATATAAATTTCATCACATAACAGAATTTGGTGGTTTACTATTACTTGACAACTCTTAACATATTACTTTTTAAAGATTAATTACTTGATTAGATTAAATCTGCAATTCTCCCAGAAATCAAGATGGCAAAGACATCAAATAAGGTTCAAATATAACAGAAGTAGAGCAGAATTTGATACATGAATGTGTACATATGTTGTTTTCTATAACTCTACAAATACAAATGAAGATTATAATAAACTAAGGAAGGCACAATGGCATGCTATTCTTACAGTTGATATGCCATTACTATCTGAAACGTGCTCTGACAGCTCTGAACATTGCATTTTAGTCCCTTACCTTTCCTGCTCAGATCCAAGGATGGATTTTATAGTCAAAAGCCACAACTTTGTTCTACTGCAAAATAAATAGTTACCTATCCATAACTTGAGTTCAAGATGGTCTCTGTGTGCTCACAGAAAGGCCAGTCAATGCAGAAGGTGGGACAGTTTCATAGCATACTTGTTAGGGTACTCAGGCACCCACCCTCCTATTCTTTTCCTCTGTATTCCTGATTGTTCTGAGGCCTGGGCTATACAATGAGACATGCTGCCCTCTGCTGCCTCAGTTTCTTCCAGCTCCTCAAAATCAAGATGCTGGTAGAACTCCTAGGAAGAGGGGTGGGGAATGCGACTATGCAGAGTTCCTCTGTAAGTACTCTGGCTACAAGTAAGAAACCTTCATTTCTAGATTCAGTGTCTTCTCCCCATATGGCTGTTTATGAGATTGAGGGGGAATTTTAGGTTTTTAATCACCTGAGCTTCCAAAATCTCTCTACTGGCAAAACTGCTCTACTTGTAAGAGTCGAGAACTGCACCTATGAACAGGGTTCATTTTCAAAAGTAGCATGATTCCTAATCTCAAAAAGAGGGAACATGTGTAAAGTATGACTGTTAGGGTATCTCGTCATATTTTATGCTTTAAAGTTGCACCTGCTTACAGTGGTGGATTATGGTATTGTTTAAACCTTTTTATATTCAGCCTTATTTAATCATTGCTTAAGTTTTGTATAGCCTCATTATTGTTTATCAGCTGGCCCTGAGTTGTTTTTGTAGAGCTTATAGTGCTTGCTCATTGTATTTTTTCCTTTTTATCACTGTGAGAAGTTCTTCTAAGGTAACACAGCAATGGCTTTGTTACCAGCTCAATTTAACTGAACTTGGCATTAGCCAGTTGAATCAGAGGGATGAAATGATTGGATATGTTAATGAAAGGTAATAAGGGAAAAATCAATGGACACTGCCCACTGTAAGACACAGGAAAAAGGCCAAATTAAGAGGTGTGCTCATGATGGGTATGTTGAACAAAGGGATATGCACACAGGATAAAATATGGACAGTATGCTGACTGCAGAGAGACCAATCTGAAAACAAAGTGTCGTTGAAAGAGTGACGTTGAAGAAAAAGCATAAAAGGGGGCAGCAAGGAAGTTGGGTGTTGTCGCTGGCATAATCCAGCCTTCAACACCTACCTGGACCAAACCAGCCAACAACGTACCCTTTGCTCTGAGGGACTGAGTGGCTGTCTTTTCTGTTGAGCAAAGTAACATCTGGGATTGGGTGAGATTATTGTACTGAATGTTTCTCTCTCTCTGTATATAGAAACTGTTAAGATAACATTTGTTGTACTAATAAAGTTAGTTTTTTTATTTTAGGACACTGAGTTGTCCGTGTTCATATTTCACATCCCTAAGCGCTATCTGGTGAGCAGTGGTGCCAACAATGACCTTTGAAAGGCTCTGATCAACCAGTTGTCTAAACAAGTAAAAAGACGCTAGCATCTCAAATGCATGGCTACCATGGGTAGGCACTCTGTAAATATCTGTGGGTCAGTAGATAAGTCATAAGGCTTGATTTGCATTAAAACTGATTGTATCATAACTCAAGATATTTGCAGTGTCTGGGTCTAAGAGAGATACACAATTACACATTATTTCAAGTCACAAGCTACAAAACGATCTAGATCAAAAAGAGAGGGCACGGGAGCACAGAAATATAGGACTGGCAGGAGCTACCTGGTCTATCAATTCAAATTCTCTGGGACTACATATAGCCACGTCACAGACATTAAGTTTAAAACAGTCCATGAGAATATCCACTCCAGCCCTTCCCAAGGCACAGAGGACATTTTAAAAAACACAGAAACTTTACTTACAAACGAGCTCCCAACTGCACAGAGAGCCTCAAACAAACCCAATGAGGAGCCATAGGAAATGAGCAGGAGAGGTATGAGAGCCGCTAGTGTCAACATGAGGAAACAGAACTTTCCAATAAACATGCTGTGCTGCCAAAGATTCAGCACTAGATGAAGTTTCTTGTCTTTCTTGGATGTCAGAAAATATCTCAAGTAGATACCCTGACTTTTGAATTCCTTTGACACCTCTATAGCTCCTGCTTCCAACGGAGGACAAACATAGGATTATAGTGCTTTTTTGAGAAGTACCTCTGGTCCCAGCTACAGGAAAAAGTTAGCACAAGGTAGACTAGGGTTTGAAAATGTACCATTCATCAGCTAGTCTACAGTAACTGCCTGCATGTACAAATTTATCTTGTAGTAACCATGAGATATGCCTTTTTGCTGAAGAGCAAACTAAGTTACTTCCTGTTTTTGAGAGGCGCCCTAGCTTATACCTTATACTAGTTTGTTTGTGTGATCATATCCTTTAAATATGAAAGGTGGATGGATAGGGTGGAGAAAGGAATCAAATTAGTGAAAATGAATCTGTTGACTTCCAAACACTGATATAATAAGAAAGTTCTATCTTCAAAAGGTCAAAGGGAAAGGGTGAATTCAAATTGGCCTTACTCATATATTTGAGGTCTGGCATGCAAACACTTGGTCAAAACTGAGGGTTGTTTTCTGTTCATTCAGGGTTTAAAAGGCTTTATCTACTTCTGTGGCTGAATAGGAGGTGTCTACTAGTATGAGAATAACATGATGGGGGATAGAACTGTATTTGGCTGTGTAACTGCTTCACAACAACCATCCAGACACTGGTAAATTCTGGCTCATGTCCTCCAACCTTGATCTACAAGAGCATGCACCTGCCTTGCAAATAGTTCAGACTAAACTACTTTCATTATCAGCTCTACACCCGAGTAATCCAATCCATACTCCTGCTATAGTTCGACTCCAAGTCAGCCAGGTGCAAACGTATTCTAAATGAACAGTTACAATGTTAGATGGATGCAATGCATCTAAAGACAGCAGAAGAGATATAATAAGCCCCTGTCTTCTAAACCAACAAAGACCAACAGTTTTGGTCCCACTGTTCCTCAGTCAGCCCCCAAAACCAATTAAAAAAAATTAAAGACAGAAGCAAATCTACCACAAAATATTTTTACCTGATACGTAAGAGAAAGTAGAGTGATAATAATAATAAAAACAACTTAGTCCATAACATCTATTCCAGAAGGAACAGCAGTAGACAGCAGAGCAGGGGAAAAAAGGGTAGAGGAGACAGACAGAAGTGATCATTTTTGCCCAATCTGGCCAAACACTGTAAGTGCATGGCTGCAAACTGCTTCAAAAATAGCCAATTGTGTGAAAAGCTGAACCCTTGTTCAAATGAAGACGTTTCAAAACAGAGCGTCTTCTGTAACTTGCATCTGTGCTACCTCCCAGCCTGTTGCTATTTTCAGAATGGGAGGGGGGAAAGGGAGTGGAGGGAATTTGGTATGGGATTTTTTTCAGCCTCCAAGGTCGGGGAGAGGGGGCTCCAATTCACCCGCCCTGCCCTCCGGCACCAGCTGGGAAACCCCTAGAATGAGCTCCCTTGGTTCCCTTTCCAATCTCCCATTCTGAAAACAGCTGGGGTTGGCAGGGAGGAGGGGCTATTACTAGGGGAAACCAGCAGCTAGAGTGTGTCCATCCCGCCCCCCCCGGAACCAACAGTGAACTCCTGTTTGGTCCGGGTGACTGCTGCAACTCAGAACATTTCCCGCTAAGTGCTCAGAAGTGCAGTTCCTGGCTGCAACTCAGTCTGCACCCAGAGAGTTACTTTCACGGCAGAATACAGAACAACGTGCTATCAATACTGAATACATTTTAAAAGCATGGATTGATTAATACTAACAGTTTATTAAGGATCACATTAACTACATCTAAAATAACCTTGCAGAAAAACATTCAATAAGTTTGAGCTAAATCCACACAAACTCTGACTTAGTTTAAGACATTCAAGTTAAACCAGATTTGTTAAATAAAATTATTTTCATATGTATTTTGTTTATAAGAAACCGTTGAGGCATGGGCAATTCAAAATGAGTTTAAAGAGCCTTACCATGTCATAGCCAAGAACTGCACTATGCAGAATAGCACGGCCAAACCCTTCTTACCCCACTGAGACAAAACACAAGAAATATTGCAGGTGAAGTTATTTTACAGAAATCAATGCTATTTATAACTGAAAACATTAGTTTACTCAACCAAGTCTACCCCAAACTTTAGTTAAACCTGATGCTGAATGGTCATGGCTGAGGAAATTAAACATCTTAGTCTTCCCTTCTTCATTCTATTATTGATTATAGCATTGCAATATCATTCCACCTGAAAAGTTTTTATTAGCATTTTACTATACAGCTCTTCCCTTAATTATGACACTCTTTAAGATGAAATAGTTAAAGACTTGACTATCTCCTCCACACTCCCATGCATATTATTTATACTTCAATCATGTTGCAAGAGATATTCATTTCTGAAACACATTACTTTCACCCCACATTTTAATATTTCAATTATTAAAATGGGACTGAGATAGTTATGATATTGCTTAATTATTAGTTCAAGCTTTGTCTTCTTTCCCTTACTCATATTAAGAGTTTATATTCTGGCATTAGATATTTTTCGATAGTATGCAGCCACAAGACCACTGTAGCCAGGATATTTAGAACCACCAGCCCAAATGCAATTGTAGACAAATTCTTCACTTCCATTGAAACGAAGAGTGACATGGCACAAGGTCACCCATCCACCCACTTTCTATTTCAGTGAACTTTAAAAATGCAGTTACCAAATTTTTCTTAACCAATAGTTGGAGGAAACAGACTACTGCCGGAGTTAATGACCCATCTGTGCTAGCTTAGAAAACATAAATTAATATTACTTACCCAGAACACAGCACAGAGTGTAGCTATAAAGGAAAACTGCGGGGAGGGGAAGAAGAAAAATTAGTGCACAGTATAATTGTTTCTATACGTTTTTATTACAGTAATGAGCCTTTCAGAATCCACTACCTAAAACAAGTACATTCAAGGCCTGCCCAGCAGTGGTACAACATTCTATTCATTCAATAAACACCACCACCATGAATACAGAATTAATCATATCAACCTTCTAACAACGCATGCATTAGTACCATGATGAACTATCAGTTTACAGCCACTGAATCTGGTAAATACCAACCTTGCTTCTGCTAATGTTTTTATTTCTGAAGAATAGTCAGAAAGGCCTACTAGGGAGTAGCTCTCACGTAGGTGAAAAAGGTTAGATGAAGCTTTAGTTAAGCTACTCATGGAACGCTCTGTTATTTCCTCCATCAATTGGTAGTGCCTATGAATAGGATGAAGGTAGATTCCAAAGTACAATTGGCTTCAGAACTTTCAGTACATGATCCAAAGAGCTTAAGAGCCAGATTTATGACCAGAGTAACTATTTTTCCCACAAAGTAAAACCCCAAGACATTCAGTCTGTAATTTATGAATAGTATCCTTAACTGAACAGGAGGATTTCCCTATAGAGCAGGTTACAGAGACTGAAGATTTTCGCAAGAAATTAGGTTACTCTATTAGATATGATACACACACTTTGGGTATTTTACTTCTATATTGCTTTCAAAATTATTCCTCTATCTGATGCAATTTTCTTTGGTGTTAAGATTTCATTTAAATAAAATAGTTTATAATCCCATATCAACCAAAATGGTGTTGAAACTGTGCTAACCAATTTTTTTTAGTGTCCTCCATGAACATGTGCCAGTCACTACCATGACTATTCTGTTTATTTCCACTTCCCTGCACCTTTCTGTCTCTAAGAACTCTATGTGAATGTAAAATGCACAGCCTACTGAGAGCTACAGCCATATAAATATAATTATGCACAAAAAAAGACCTTAAGAAAGGATTTTGGCTAAAGGTTCTAATCAGGTATTCAAGAGGAAGGAAATGACTGAATTAATGTTATCTTTGCAGTCTTAAATCAGACCCCTTGTGTGAAAACACGATCCATACTTCGATTACATAATCATTTACTATTTTTGCATAAAAAAAAAACTTTGCCTCATTCCATGCAAGGAAGGGGTATGCTCACTTCACATACTACCATTTACAATGTTGCTTTCTCCCTGTTATTTTGGCCCCATTCCTTGTGTTTATTGAATGCTGCTGAAACACTAAAGAAATAATTCATTCCCATGGGTATTTCTAGCTGAAAACTGCAATTCCTGTTTTGTGGGAAATTCTGAAATTAGAAAAAAAATCCAAAAATGAATGCAACCATTTAAAATATATATTTAATTAAAACAAGTCAAAATAGCACTTCATTTTCAAGCTCCAAACATCCCCGTTACTTCCCACGCAGCCCAAAGGGCCAGCACTCTACCAGACACTTCAAAGAGCTCAGAGGCAGGGATGAGAGGTCCTCTGGGCTATCAAGGAGCCACCTGGCAGGCTCCCCCAAGGACAGGGAGTCTGGAACCAGGGACCAATTTCATCCCATGCCTATGTTCCTTCTCCCAAACTACATACCCTATCTCACCCAAATCTGTGTCTATTCCATCAGAATTCAAGTTAGGTCATCTTCTCTGCCAAGCTGACTGGGCCCTGGAAAGGGAGATGTGTGGATGTCTGTGGTTCCAGCTCTAGAGGTAGGCTCTCAGCTTTATATTCTTGTTCCTGGCCCTGAACCCAGATTGGCTTCTAGTAACCTGGATTTGCAACTGCAGGCAAACTGCTCAGCTCTAGAACTTATGTGCATCCAGGAAACATGAAATCTTTGGGGAATTCAACCAAAATGATCTAGCAATTGTTTTCTAAGCATGTACACACTGATATCTCAAAGGCTTATAACAGCCAAATATGGCTGGTTTCTCATGGAGGTTAAAGGCACATCTCAAGCATGAATGTCAAAATCCTGCTAAGTATCAAATCATGGCATCAAAGAAAGTGGGTAGGCTTGAGTTTCTCCAAAAGAAAAAAAGGGTATTCAACTGTTTTTAACATTGTTGCAATATATATACAACTTACAGCAGCAACCCAAAAAGATGGGGGAGGGCTATTACCTCCACCAGCTGTAACCAATTAATAAGCTAGAAACAACTACTATACAAGACTAACTCAGGCAGAAAAGGGTATCAGGGTGCTCTGAAAGGAGAAGCATTGGAATATGTGTTCCTTAACATAGTACTAGGGGTGCACCAATGAAGATTTTCTTAGCCAATACCAATGGCCAATTATCAACCAGCTATATTGGCCGATACCGATGAGACAGCCGATTTACAGGAATGCAGCCTGGCAGCTTGGAAAGCAGTATCCAGCCGATAAGTTTGTGGGGAGGAGTGGGAGGGGGTGCAGACAGACCCGACAGTGAGGGGGGGGGAGTGGGGCAGGTGCTGCCCAGCCAGGGTAGCAAATGTGATCTTGCAGGTGCCTTGTCCAAGATGGGGGAAAGGAAGACAGTTCCCCACCACTGTGCATACCCCTGGGGGAGGCATGGGGGGCACGTACCCCCCAAGATTTATTCGTAGGGTGGAGGCAGGCTGGCCACTGTGGGCCTGGGGCCAGGGGCTGCGCCAGCCTTTTCCTGGCGGGAAGGCTGGGCCAGGGTTGCGCTCAGGGGAGGCAGGGTGGGCAGTGATGGCACTGAGAGGGGTGGCCACGGGGTGGGCTACAGCCACCCCAAAATTCCCCACAGTGACCCCCACCAGCGCTGCCCACTCCACCCCCACCCATCCCAAACACAGGAAGAGGCCAGCGCAGCCCCTGGCCTTGAGCCCGCAGTGGGAAGCCCGCCTTTACCCTGCACACAAATCTTGGGGGCACATGCTCCCATGCCTCCCACAAGGGTGCATGCAGCAGTGTGGAGCTGCCCACACCTCCTTCACTCCCCACCCAGCACCCCACATCTCCAGGACAAGCTGTCCACAGCTCTGCCCCGCTCCTGGGGTCACGTTCACTGTCCTCTCTGGGTAGCACCTGCCCTTGCCCCTCTCCCTCCTTCACGATGGGGGCCTCAATCTGCACCCCCCCAGGCCCCTTCCCTCCTCCCCAACGACTTACCACCTGGATGCTGCTCTCCAAGCTGCCAGGCTGTCTTCCTGGCTGTGTGTGCATGCTGCATCTGCATGTGTGCACCCAACATTTAATTGGTGGTATCATTGGCTACACCGGCCAAAAAAAGCTGATGTTAATTTTCCTTGTATTGATGCCAACCCAATATATGACCAATATAGATCAGTGCTCTTCTACATAAAACAGGATCCTTGAGCTTGAACCCAGGGGAGAGGGTACTCCTTGTCCCCTCCTCCCCCTTCCTTTTCTTTTCTTTGGAAGAGAAAGTACAGTCCTTGAGATAAAGGACAAAGGACTAATGGAACTGACCTTAGAGAAAGCAAAGGTTGGCAATCCACTTTTTAAAAAAGTTTTATGGAATAAATTAATTTTCTGTTTCCCTGTGAAGGACTAGTTCTAATCCATGATGACAAAAGGACTATTCTACTAGGACCATGCCACATGTTCAAATCAAAGTTGGAGAGAAACGAGCTATAAAGTTGTTACATGTTTTCAAGCACTAACTTCACAGCTGGCTGGCTTTTTTATGGCTGGACAGACATTTTTATGGAGTGATAATTACTTTGCATATGTGACTGGTCTAAATTTATTGCTCAATTAGCCAGTTAATTGTATAATATATGTAACGTGTGGCAGGGGTACTACAGACATTGATGGAGCCATTTAACAAGGGATAACACCTTTTCCTAGTTTTATTTTTGGAGATGGTTGAAGGATTTGGGGAGAGAAATTGTCTCAGATACCACTCAATTCACAGTTGACCCCCATGCATGGAAAAATCTTAGTCCAAATGACTAGTCTAGAAAAGCTAAAAATAGGGACTTGCTGGAAGATTGGAGACATTACTAATAGATGGTGTTCCCAGCCTTTCTGTCACCAATCCAACCGTTTACCTTTTGAAGCTGAAAAGTAGATAGATAGTGCTTACCAGCATAACGAGTGTTGCAATTAATCTTGTTGGCTCAAACATTTTTTTCAGCTGCTTTATAGGTCCCATCAGGAAGCATGTACTAATGGAAAAGTAAACGTGGGGGGAGGGGGGGAAGGAAATAGTAAGTCCCTTTCAAATAAAGCTTTGCAAAGAATCATAACAGTAACTTGTATTTAGAAAGCCTACCACTGAAGTTTATATATAAACTAGAAAAAAGCCTTATGTCAACATTCAGTAACAGATCCTGCTAGCATTAAAAATGAAAAATCTCTTTATATTTGGGCCTGAAAACAGCCATATACATCTGCTCCTGATCCCTATCAATGTTACTAGCTATACTGAAAGGGCAACAATTTTTATTGTCTGGTCATCCTAAAACTGCCTAAAAATGATTTTTTTTTCTGACTTTGAAGAAGGTTGGAGGATCTAAAGTAGGAAGTTTTGCAAAGTGAGCTTATCCTGTGCCATATATCTACAAGAGCTTTTTACTTCAATATAAATTTATGATCCTCAAAGCTGCAAAGAAACTCTTAAATCTAACCTACGGAATGAAGCTACTGCAGCTGTTTGGTGGCATGTGTCAGCACTGTTATACCAACTCAAGAATGTAGGGGCACCTTTTTTTTTTTTTTTTTTTC